TACGGTTCTTTGGGACCCCCTGAAACCCCTGGCTACTGGGCTGCATGCTGGGTTTTTTTTTTTCGTTTACTGTTAGCACCAGCGCGTTAGACCTATATCGTTGCGATGTGAAGAGGTGGTGAAATGACGACCAGCCCGCGTCATCGTCTGTTGTCCTTAAACAACGGATAAAGACACATTTTATTATTTTTTGTCGTCCCGAATGGCCGTGAGGACGGAGGGAAAAAGAGAAAATACAGAATGAATTAATCAATTAATTAATGGATGCACGGAGAAACTGAGAGAGAAAAAAGAAACGAAGAAAGAAGGAAATAAAGAAATACAGAAAGAAAGAAAGAAAGAAAGAAAGAAAGAAAGAGGGGAAAATCCGATCAAAAGAAAGAATGCTTGTACTGCATGGATTTTGATTTAAAAAAAAATTAAAACCTACCTAAACACACAAACATAAATGTTCCCTAGTATCCGTCTATCAAAGAAGATATAGATGTGGAACGGCATCGTGGCCCCGACACATGTATCCGCAACTGCGAGGTGGAGGATGAAAAAGTTGGTGACCGTCCTCAACGCCGCGTTTCTGTAAAAAGCCGCAATGACCAGAACGTTGCCACAGCAAATGACTACCATTAAGATGGCCTCACATATCACGATCGTCAGAACCAAGGTGGACAATGTCCCCGTCTCCGTGGAGTCGCTCGAGTTCCCGGTAATATTCATGTTTGTGTCATTCGGGGCCATATTAGTATTGTGCATTGCTGGCGATGTCTTTTCTGAGCTTATTACTTGATTGGCGTACTGGCGATGATGTTCCCGTTGATTGGTTGTCTATAAATATTTGAGGCTAACGACACTCATCTAAATGACCCCTCAAGTTTATAATATCATCATTCCATCATACTTGTCAGTTCTACTAATAGTTAAGTCACAAGCGTCTGTTAGGTTATATGTTTGAATAATCAATAACCCATGTTATTTCATTTGATAACAGATATTCACTAAAGGCAGTCCCTTGTATCTCTGCCTGAATTGATCCGAGACAATCGAGAAGACGTTGTTCCTGCTGAAATATTTTCACTTTCACTATTTCAATCACGAGACGCACCGAAAAACAAAGACGTTGATGTATCAGTTTTAATAATTTCACTCTCTCACAGTGCACTTGAGGACTAAAAATCCAGTCATTTGCTATTATCACTGTGCATGGCGACTTTTGTTTAGAGTGTTGAATAATATGCCCTTATATTGTTGAACTGTCCGTACTTTCAGTCCCGTTTAGTCTTGATTCGATCCTTATTACATTAGTCCAGTTTTATAGACGCCGTGGTCCTTGTTTGTTTGTTTGTTTGTTTGTTTGTTATGATAGCTGGGATATTATATCGAGTTGTCCCAACCTGCTTGGTAATTTTATAAAGCCAATATTTCTACACCCATCCGGTCTTCACGTAGACGTCCTAGTACATCGTTCCTTCTTCGTTGTTTCCTAGAGTTATTTCCCTCGCAGTCTGTCGTTTATTTTAAACTTGTTTTCTATACTTCACGCAACATTCTTAGCATTTGTTGATAAAATCTAAGCCCGTGAATCTCTTCACTCAATCCAATATAGGGAGGAGGTCGAGCTACATATTTCCGTCGAGGGTGTATATATAGAAGACAGTAAACCGTATAACGAGGCCCGAGCAAATATCGCAGACAGAGTGCTAACCTGTCATTAAGTTGGTGTGAAATGTCGATGACCTATGGCCGTCAAAAGACGAGATAGTACGTCGATTCACTGATTGAACACGCTGGGGTGATTTCTCTGTTCAATTATGAAGCACCTTGATCCATGTCCGACGCGTTGATGTGTCTAAATACTGGGTTTCTTCTGTGCCACTCACGTCACTGTATTATTAAATACAGAGTAGAATCTGAGGTACCTTGTGTATATGTGTTTCACAAGCCGGTCGAAGATCCGAAGTAGCTTTATGACAGTCCTCGTATGCCCTTTTGAATTATACTCCCAACAAATTGCATTTCATATGAATCAGCCAAAGAAAAAAATCATCAAGCTAGCCCCAAGTGATGTCACAGTGTTCACATGAACTTGTACCAGTCCTTTAAAATGATACAACAGTCTGTCAAGAAATATACACATGTATACTGGGATAGTCAGTAAATTATTGTAATTACCTTACAATACTAGCGCACAGTATAATAACGGTCGGTGAATCACAAATGTTCAATTAGACGTTATTTGTGTACAGCCGTGTCCGTATTTTCCCTTCGCCTTGCTGTAAAAGATAGAATATTCTTTTATCTCCGAATATACTGCCTACTTTTCAATGGTGTCTGCTACCAATACTTGTACCGGGGTACCCTACAATCCTCGGGCGCTTTTTCACCTGAGTCACTTTCATTGTGTGACAAAACATCTCAGTTATTCATGTATGTATATAAGGGACAGAGTTGCGTTCCTACCTGAAGGTTATCAGTCCCTTTGTCCATTAACGTCAATGAATCCCACAGTGGTGCTATAATTAGCCATCCATTGTAAATAGTTCATATTTAAAGAGACCTCTTTGAGGACGTCATTTAGACCCCATTCCCAGAGATTAGGTCGATCTACTTTAGATCGACCTAACTCCCTAGGGGTTTACGCTAGATAGCTGTCAGCCGAGCGGGCACGAATGTTAATCACCCCCTTACAGCTTGTAGTAGGCGGGACGGACATTTAAGCCGGATTATCTGACAGTAATCTAGTGAGACTCCCCGCGGGGATAGATCGATCTTAAAGTTCTAGGAATATGCCCTTAAACTGTAACAGTATCCGTTATCTCCGGCTTCTAGTCTATATTCTCCTTGTAAAGAGCCTATTTTTAATTTTTCGGATGGGAAAGTATAATGACTTTAACGGTAGTCAATTGTAATGTCGTCCTTGACATGTTCGGGATATCCGAATTGAATCTTCACGCATGCTTTGACGCAAAAAATAGAGCCTGGTGGTTTTATATTCTGGACAATATCGTTAATTCTTCGAAGATGATACGATATTTGGATACTAGAAAGTCCTCGAGACATCCATCACTGTCAATGTCCCTCCATTGTGAAACTTTAGAACTGATAAGTAATTTCCCTCGGGAGGTTTTCAAACGATAAATCCCTAGCCTAACATTTCCATATTACGTAACGGTCGTATTACGAAATGTAGTCTTCTTCGGTATATTTGGATGGGACTACAAACTTGGTTCCAACGGGAGAACCGGCTTGTGGAATTCGAAGTTCTGAATCTTTAAATGATGTAAAACGACAACAGTCCCGCACGAAAACGTCCAAGACAGGACCGGTCAAAAGTCTCCTCACCTTCAACTCTGTTTTGAACTCGTACTGCTGGTCGACTTGTTGAGCCGATGACGTACTTGGTGTACATAAATTATCACAGGTCACGGAAGAGAAATATCCATAGCTTGCGAAAAGCACAATCACGTTTCCACTGTAGCGAGAAAATGACGTTTATCTTCGTGACCCTGCTAGAAGATAATAAACACCCACCTGTTACTCTTTGGGCAACCCATTTGAAGAATTTCATGTACATGTGCTAGTGACGTCAAGCCGCATATATGCCCGCTAGCTCCTGTCACCCGGTAGCTCTTATCTGATGAAAGAGCTCCATTCAATGTCCGTTGTATATAAATTTTTATATAAATGGTTTAATTTGTATTTTTTATTCATACATTGTATCCAACCTTGCGGTTACCATGTGTTAACAAATGTATTATTATGATAATTATTATTATTATTGTTATTATTAATTTAAGTTTCGGCGACATTGAAGGACTTAACTGTTATAGGCCTGTCTTATACCAGTATACTGTTTATTCTTTCTGTTCATTTCGATGGAAGTACACTTTTACAATAAGTGTGATCGATTCAGAGAAGAATGTCATCAGCTGTGTTATGTTATAAGAATGAAGTAAATTTTCTTCTGTCAACAGCTAATATTGAGATTTTATTATTATTATTATTATTATTATGATTGGGTATGATCGAGGGATATACGGATTTACAAGTGCACGCAGTACTTACTACTGTACATGTGCAATGGCTTATCATAAAGTTGATGTTTAAGAATTAGTACTATAGTGAAATCTTTTCTTGTTATGGTAGGGCACTACGCCGTGTACTAGCAGACAATATTAACATGGAGGCCTAGGGGGTTATCAATGCAATGGCGGAGGGGGGAGGGAGTGTGTGTGGGGGGGGGGGGGGGGGTCATCCAAGCTCTCCCGTACTTTTTGCGCTGATGGTGACGAGGATGAAAATAGTGGCGACTCCCGTCCCCAAACATTATCTCTCTCTCTCTCTCTTTTTTTTTTTTTTTTTTTTTTTTTTTTTTTTAAATCATTTTAAAATTTGC